CAGTTGACTCCCGACTTCAAACTGTCATGACCCCACTATATGTCGTATTCGACCACCTCCACCGTACTAATTCAAACTTTTCTCTGCTTTCGTGTCTGTCTGTCTCCTTTACATATATAGAATCACTCTTTCTCCATCTCTTTCGAATTTTTCTCACTTTGATGTTCCTCCCNCGAACTGCATGCCTACGCAATTTAAAATAAAGACATTTTAAATGATTAGACGCGAAATGATAAAATGTTATTAAATAGATTAAAGTGGCATCGACAGAATTTCAATAAATATATTCCAAGAATGATAAAATTTATTTATATCAAATGGCAGGCGATTTGATGGTTATTATTAGCCCTTTAGTTGACTTCAGGCTTCACAGATGGGAAGGAACATCAAAGTGAAAAAGGTCGAGATGGGGGGGGGGACAGAAGAGTGTTTCAAAGATGTAAAAGAGAGTGACACAAAGGTAGAAAAAAGGTGAGGTGAATACTGTGGATTAAGTCGAATATGACATACAGTGGGGTCATGGTAGTTTGAAGTGATAAGTCAACTGCCGGTTAATAGACTTTTGGCCGTTGGAGTATACGTTGCCCAGGGTGCACTACGTGGAGGTAAGTCTATCGCACACCCCAGAATGATAAAATAAGTTCTCAAATTTTATCTATTAGGAAGTTATTATAACTGTTACGTGGAAAGATGGGTTCTTTTTACAGAGACTAAGAAATAGTATTCAAAATGTCCTTTCTAATGAAAAGAGAAATACTTAGATACTATAAAAGGTGATATTCGCAATGGCCTAACAATTTAAAAAAAGTTTTCAGTCTGCAAAAGGATGGCTGAACTGGGGAGATTAGTTCATTGGGAAATGTGGAAATTGTTCAAAAAGTCGTCTTCACTATGATTTTTTATTTGTTTTTTTTCTCGGATTCAGGTTTTAGAATACTGACTTAGATAGTAAGTCACTGCTTTGCGTTATGAAGATATGAACGCCACTATTTGTCCCCTTGAATGTTGGCTAAGTTCTTACACCTCAGTAAACTCAACCTATTAACTGATAGTTTATTTCTGATGATTGGTCTTCCAAAGTCTGAGAAAGTAGAGCGGTAGTAGCAGATCACGTTGAACCAAATTCATAAACATCGTTTCAGAGCTGTATGACACCCGAGAGCAGTATAGGATCGGTTTAATATTTGAATTTTAAACTCCACATCGCATATCCTTATATAGCGTTTCAGTACATTAATGGACAATTCGATTTATTTTAGGGTAACAACTTTGAAGCAGGTTAAAAGTAGTGCCTTTCAAATGCGATTGAGGCAGAAGAAGGACTCTTCGAAGCGTAGATCCAATAGAATTGAAGGCCTTCAATCATCCTTATCGCACTATGAGCTCACTGGCGGAGGAAAACAGAACTCGGATTACAGAAAGCAACCCAAATCACGCAGCCAGGAGAGGCCACGCTCCGAAGGTAGTCAAATTTTCTTTCTTCTTCCTTAATACCATTATTAATAACTCACCAACAATCTGCCTTTCCGAGATTGGTTTTTATCATTCTTAATAATGCACTAGTTTGTAACCTAGCATTAAATTGTTTCATTATCTTATATGCGCAAGAAATCAAGAAATCAAGATAAAACTTGTTGAATTATTAACATTCCAAGTGTTTGCTCAGATTGCAAACAGTTCAGCAGACTAAATAGTAGAGATGACAGAAATCTCGAGAAATGCTCGTTGAAGCAGTAGCATAGGTAGACGAGAGGACTAAATAAATGCAAAAAAATCTATAAACGGTTTAGTTTGAGGTGTTGGCGCAGCGGTTGACTCACCTGGTTGTACAGTCGGGGATACCCGTCGAAGGTCACCCAATGAACGAAATGACCTACAAAGACTGGCCACTACTAATAGAGCGCCAAAATTCAGATCTCCTGCCAGACGGTTTTGACAACGCTATTTTTCACCAAAATACATTGTCATAAAATATTTTTCCAAATTGTGTTGAGAGGTAACACCAATTTTTGGTGTCTAGATTTATATTAGAATGGAAGTTGAAAAGTGATAACTTATTAAAAAAGATTAACAGCCACCCACTACTTAATTCAATCTTTGTATCTTTTTTTAATAAAAACACTTAAAATGGGTGATAAATTTCACTTAAAATCTTAAACACTGAATTCAACACAATTTTCGACGATGTACCAGTGAGTGCATTCCAGTTGGTAGGACTTGATCTCTGTCAATATAAAATGTTGCACTTTTAAGCAATAAGGAAATTTATTTATTTATTTATATCAAATGGCAGGCGTTTTGATAGCTACCATTAGCCCAATAGTTGACTTCAGGCTTCACAGAGGGGAAGGAACATCAAAGTGAAAAAGGTCGAGATGAGGGGGACAGAAGAGTGTTTCAAAGATGTAAAAGAGACAGGCACAAAGTTGGAAAAAAAAGATGAGGTGAGTACGGTTGAATTAGTCGAATTTTACATACAGTGGGGTGATGGTAGTTTGGAGTCTGAAATCAACTGCCGGTT